GACGACTTTGTGGAGGCCCGGAACTGTGTTTTCCGGTCTTAGTTTTAGATTTAGGGCTTAAGGTTTAGGGTTTAGGGGTTTAGGGTTGAGGGTTTAGGGTCCAGGGTCTGGGGTTTAGGGTTTATCATCCTAAGGGTCACGGTCTGTGTGATGTCCATGTTACTTGCGTGCAGATTGTAAGAAGCGCACTACATCCTAAACCTGTAAGGAGTTAGGTCTTAGGAAACTCTCATGAAACGGCAGGTATGAGTCTGAATATCCTGACCCCCAAACCATATAAACCCTGAATCCTAAGCCCTAAGCCCTAAACATTAACATCCTAAACCCTAAATCCCAAACCCTAAACCCTAAAACCCTAAACATTAAAATCCTAAACCTAAACCCCCAAACCCTAAAACCCCAAACAGAAAAACCCTAAACCCCAAACCCTAAGCCCTAAACCCTAAACATTAAAACCCTAAACCCTGAAGTTGGAGGCCGAAGTTTCGGATTTGACAAGTACCTGGAGAAGAAATACAAGAACTTACCTTTTCTGGGTTCCTTATTGTTTAGGGTTTAGGGTTTAGGGTTTAGGGTTTAGGGTTTAGGGATTACCTTACATATAGGGTTTAGGGTTTAGCGCAAAAGGCCGAAGAAATAGTATGGAACCTACCTTTTCAGGGTTCCGTACTGTTTGCTTATATAGGGTTTTGGGTCTAGGGTTTAGGGTTTCGGTTTAGGGTTTAAGGTCCTTAGAAAAACTTACCTTTTCAGGGCTCCTTATTATTACCTTATATACCTGTAACTCTCTTTACCTACCGTTTAGCAGGCAGTACCCCTTAATCAATAGGTAGAACTGAACGCATAAAACTGTAGGTAATTAGAGTCGCAGGTAGGGTTTAGGGTTTAGGGTTTATAAGGTCCGTAACAAGGGCCTAAACCCTCAACCCTAAGCCCTAAACATTAAAATCCTAAACCCTAAATCCTGCTCCTTATTATTACCTTCAATAGGGTTTAGGGCTAGGGCTTATAAGGTCCTTAAAAAGGTACCCTAAACCCCAAACCCTAAAACCCTAAGCCCTAAACCCTAAACCCTAAACCCCAAACCCTGAAACCCTAAGCCCTAAACCCTAAACCCTAAACCGTGGGCTTGGGGTTAAGGTGAGCCTTCGAGCTTGGCGTGTCAGTTGACTGAAGGGGCCCGAGGCCCGAACCCTGGCTCTGGCTCTGTGGGTTCAGGGCTTTAGGGCTTTAGGGCTTTAGGGCTTTAGAGCTTTAGGGTTTATGCTTTAGGGCTTTAGGGTTTTAGGGCTTTAGGGCTTTAGGGCTTTAGGGTTTATGCTTTAGGGTTTTAGGGTGTAGGGCTTTAGGGTTTTAGGGCTT